CAACCCTTAGAAGTCTCTTACTAGAGGACGTTCAAGCACGTGACCCCTAGCATCAGTATTGATTGATGTATGATACACAGGCCCCAGGAGGGGAGGGGAGGGGAGGGGACGCTATAGTTGGTTACCTAGGTCAAGTATACACTGCCCTTTCCCCTAGATTCCTTTTCCACTTGTCTAGTTGCTGTGCAAACCTTGTGGAACCCGAACGGATGCCCTGGATCCCATTTCTCCATTCCCCCTTCCGTGCTTCCGAGCTCACCTGGAGGAAGTCAGAGGTTCAGCCCTTCTAGCGCCATCTGCACTTTCCCCAGCTGATCCCAGTGGGAGAATCAGGATATTCCTTCTTCCCCATTGCCACGGCCAGACTCTCTCTACCACCATCACTCACCTACCTTTCCTTCTTTGAAGTTTGCCTTTCCCGGTGTACAGCCAATTCAGACGGCTGTTATTTACTGACGCCCTCCCAAAGGCCACACTGGCTAGCCTTTTTGTAGTGCCTTAAGGACTGCAAAATGCTAGAGAGGTTCCCTCATTTGATCAACAATCCTGTGAAGTAGGACCATTCTTCCTCTTTTCTCTGACTTCAGTTACTGGTCATATTGATCCTTTCCACCCCAGTGATTGCCCTCATTTTTGGAGACTTCAGACATCCATTTTTGCTCCTGCAAATACTTTCACTTCCCAGGTCCTCAACTGATTGAATTCAGGTGGTGCTGTGGACTGGGTGCTGGACTTGCAGTCAGGAAGACCTGAGTTCAAGTCTTACCTGAGCCATTTGCTAACTTGTAATACTGAGCCAGTCTCTTAAACTTCTCTCAGACTCAGTTTCATCATGTACAAAATGGGGGTGATAATAGCACCCAACCTCTCAGAGTTGTGAAGATTAAATGAGATGATCAGGCGAATTGCGTGGCACTCACTCATTACTTAAACCACTCTGTAAATGCTAGCTATTGTTTTTATGATTAACAACTTCTCCACCCAGCTGCACACAGGAACAGTTATACTTCTGATCCTGCCATCACCCCAAAGTGTTCCACTCCCCCGTGCAAATTCTGCAATTCCTTAATGGGTCATAGTCTTCCATCATTCCATTTCTACATATCCCGTACTCTTTGTAAACTTATTTGTGCTCACCATGCCACGCAGTACTTCTGTCTCTCAGTTCTTTCACCCTATCGGGAGGGGAGATAAGCAAGACGTCACCCCCTCCCTTGCTGTGGTCATGCTCTCCTCCCTTCCCCATTTGGACCCCTTGGTGACACAGTTCAACTCTCCTCTGCTCTGGAGCCCCTTGACCAACCCTAACCCTGGATCCATTACTCCTCCTCCTCTCCTCCTGATGTGTTTCATTGGAGCTGGAGGAACTCACGAAATCACACTAATTGGGTCCACTACAGATCCGTGTACTGTAATTTCAACTGTGTCCTCTCTGCATCAGGGTAATCCTTCTATTATTCCATAATTTGTAATAGGGACTGTAACAAACTTTTCTTTCTTCCAACCCCATCCACGAGCCTTTCCCATCATCTTTTTATTTGAGAATATTAATATTTGATACAAGCTCCTTCTCATCTCACAACCCCATAATATCAATGCCTGCTATCTCCTCCTTCACTCTAGCTTCTGATGAAAGAGTAATCCTTCTTCTTGCCAAGGCCAACTCTTTTACATGTACCCTTGATCCCATTCACTCTTATCTTCCCTAGAAGTTTGCCCCCTCCACCTCCTCTAACACTCTAACCACTCCCTATCTACTGGATTCTTCCCTGGCCTCCAGATAGTCAAGTCCCCCTTCTACTTTAAAAAAAAAACCCAAAAACCCTCATTAGAGCCTACTACCATTCCTGATATCGAGATAACATCCTCTATCTGTCCTTCCCTTTTCAGCTAAACTTTTTGAAAAAACCTTGCACACAGTAGGTTCCAAATAAAGAATTGAATTAAGTTGGATATTAGGGGAAAGCTCATAGGTTCCTTCCCATCTTTATCTCCAAAGGTATGTATGTGTAGGGGGTTCAGGGGTACGGAGGGGTGGAGTGGGGTGGGGTGGGAATTTCTGGGCTGTGGATATTGGGAGCTGACAGGCAGGACCATTGTCTCTCATGGTATCCCTTTCTTTTCCAGCTCTACCTTTCCCAGATTCTGTCCCTTCCCAATAAAGTGAGAGCATTGAGGGGGACAGAATGGTCCGTGTATTCCTGACAGCCAGGGTTCCTCGGGTGAGTGGAGGTTTCCTTTTTTGATACAGTATTTTGACTGGACTTTGGGTATACTTCTTTTCCACATCGTACAACTCAAGAACTTCAGGACATCATGAACTCATAGATGGAGACCTGAAAGATAGTGTAGAGATGATCTAGTATAACCTCTTCATTTTATAGGAGAGGAAACTGAGGCCCACAGAAGAGAAACACCTTCAGACACACACACACACACACACACACACACACACACACACACACACGAGTCAGGATTTGAACTCAGGTCCTCAGATTCCAAATCAAGCTGCCCAAATCTTTTCTCCTTTGGAGGCTACTGAGGCAGGGGTTGGGAACCTTTGGCCTCTAGGCCACATGTGCCCTCCTAGGTCCTTGGGTGTGGTCTTTTGACTGAGTCCAAGTTTTACAGAACAATCGCCTTTATTAAGGGGATTTGTTCTGTGAAGTTTGGATGGGGCCTAGAGGCCAAAGGTTTTCCACCCCTTTACTAAGAGTTAGTGGGGAAAGGAGGATGTGCCTTTTAATGAAAACGCCATTCATTCAACAAGCATTTATTAATGAGCCAGAGAGCATATCAGGGACTAAGCCACACAAATGGGGAATCAGGATGAGACCTGGATGCACATGAAGGCTCTCAAGGTTAAGCCAGGGAAGAGAGGAAGAGGGGGACTGAGGGAAGGCTGCTGTCCTGTGCATAGCATAGGACAACCTACTGTAATGGAAAGAAAGTTGGACCTGATGAGAAAACCTGGGCAAAACTGTAGTCTGCTTAAGTGGATTTGGTTGGCTGGCCAGACCCGAGGAGTGGTCAGTGTCAGCTTGGGAGAGGATCTTTTCTGGAGTGTCTCAGGCATCTACTTAAAATTTTTATCAGTGGCATGGATCAAGGCATGGATAGCACACTGATCAAAGTTCCAGGTGTCACAAAACTGGGAAGGATAGGGCCCAATAGCTTGTGAAAATGTTGGTCTGACTGCCACAGGGTAACTTTTCTTGGGGATTCAAAAACCCAAGCTAGTACATATAAGATGGAGAGGGAGATAATGAGGCTTTACAGTTATCCCTTCCACATCGTGACCTTCCCCACCTGGTTTTGATATATTGCGGGTTGGGATAAGAAATAAATGGGAATTTTTGGGCAGTTTTGCAGAGACTGTAGATGATACATGAAGGACAGCAGGCAACACATAAAAAGTTTAGAAACTCAGAAATACACAAAATATATGTATAGTATTGTATAATATCAACATTTTATTTTTTAATACTGTAAACACCTATGAAAGAAAAAGAAAGAATTCACATTTCTTCTGTGGTACAAAGGAAGGGCTAAAAAGTTTTACATGGATTTTTCAGATTGTAGGGGCATTGCGCTTCTAACTGCCGCACTATGGAAGGGATAACTGTATTTCAGGGAGTCTGAAAGGGAGCCTGAGATTTGGAGGTCTATAAACCCAGTGTCAGTCTGCATTGTTAGGAGGCATGCCAACGAGCTCATGTTGTCTTAGGTTTAGATGCAGAGTGTCCAGGACTAGGTTAGGCGATAGTGTTGCTGGGCTCCGGTATTATGTGTTTAATTCTAGGTGTCTCATTTTAGGAAGGACATTAATAAGCTGGAAAGTGTCCAGAGGCATGGAACTAGATGATCTTCATGCCACCTAAAGACTGGTTCAAGGACATTTATCCTGGAGAAGAGAAGGCTTGGGGAACACTTGGTTGCTGGACTTTTGCCTGGAAGAGGGGCTGGGTGTGTTCTGCTTGGTCCCAGAGGGCAGAACAAGGAGCAGTGGAAAGAATGTCCCCGAGGGCGGAAAGGACTGACTTGGGCCAGTGATGATTCCTTTCAGAATGAGCCCATCCCAGGAGGGAGCACTTTCCCATTTACAGGAGAGCGAGCAGAAGCCAACTGGCCTCTTTGGGGATGTGTGGGAGAAAGGGTACAGAATGGATTGGACAGAGATTTGGTGGCTTGAAGGACGTGTCTGCCTTGGTTATGCTCCCTGGATGAGATGGTGGGTCAGGGTGACTTCTATGACCGGCAAAATTCTGGGCCACCTTCTGAAAAGGAAGCTTTGTGAGCAGTTAGAAAGGGAAGGGACGGTCAGTGAGAGTGGCTTACATTTCTGTTACCTTTATACACCTTAGCTCACTTGATCCTACCAGGGGAATAGGTCTTGTCACCATCTCCATTTTACAGATTGGAAACCTGAGCCTGAGAGAAGTTAAGTGATTTGCCTGGGGTTCCCCATTTAGTATAAGGTATCTGAGGCGGGATTTGAACCCAGGTCCTTCTGATTTCAAGTCCAGTAATCCTACAATACCCATCCATTCTGTCAACAGGCAACTGAGTCAGGCTTTTGGGAGCATACCCTAGGCACAGTCTCTTTAGACTTTAGCCATCTTTTGATAGAGTCTCTTAGGTGATTCCTGTGGGTTGGTTAGAGGGATGCAGGTTGGTGAGAGCATAGTTGGGTGGTGTTGGAAACTGGTTGAATGACTAGAGCGTGGATGGTTGACAAGACAGTGGTACCCCTGGCACATACATGCAGAAGTGGGAAGGAGGAGCTGGTGAGGACAAAGGTCCTGAATTCTTTTGGGGACATGTTGAGTTTGAGAGGCCTCCAGGGCGTTCAGTTTGGAATGTCTAATAGGGAATTTGTGACAGAGGACTCGAGCTTAGGAGAGAGACTAGGTCAGAATGTAGAGGATGTTTTGCAGCAGCTAGGGGGCGACATGGTGCACAGAGCACTGGGCGTGGAGGCAGGAAGACCTGAGCTCAAATTCAGCCTCAGACCTTCCTAGCTGGGTGACCCTGGGCAAGTCACTTAACCCTATTTTCCTCAGTTTACTCATCTGTAAAATGAGTTACAGAAGGAAATAGCAAACCATTCCAATTTCTCTGCCAAGATAACCCCAAATGGAGTCACAGAGAGTTAGACACAGCTGAAACAACTGAACGACAATAATATCTTATCTGTAACTCTCATATAGACCTACTTTGTTCAAAGGTTGTTTGAACTGGAGGAGGAGGGACAGCTGTGTCTTCCCTTAGGTTCAGAAAACAAGCTTCCCGAGGACAGGATGAGGGAGGTGTGACTACCCACCCATAGCTTGAGTGGAGGTGGCAGACAGCCACCCCACAGGGGAAGTTCCATTTTCTCCTCTGTGAAACTTGTGACTCTGGACCTCCGGACAGGGTTATTGCAGGGAAATCCACCGTAAGGCCGGGAATGCCATATTAGTCTGAGCAGCTGCTGGCGTCATGACGCATCTCAGATGGAGTTCAACCTGAGGGGTGCACAGGAGGCACTCTGTAACTCTGTGACTTGGCATGCACTGAGGCCCACACCCTGTGAGCTCCATGCCCTAGGATTTGTGCCAACTCCAGGTCTCTGGCCATGTCCACGTGAGGGGTGGTCCCTGGGTGGGCAGGAACATATTTGCTGTTTCAGGCATTGGTGACCTTCAAGGACGTGGCTGTGGACTTCACCCCAGACGAGTGGCAGCACCTGGACCCTTCTCAGAAAAGGCTGTACTGGGACGTGATGCTGGAGAACTACAGGAACCTGGTCTACCTGGGTAAGGATGGCTTCCTCTTGGAACTCTGATGCTTCCTATTAGAGAGTTTTTGCTTCCTTCCTTAGTATGTGCTGGGGGGTGTCAAGTGTTTAGCCATCACTGTTTGGCAAGCAGAGACCAGGGAGTTCTCATCCTGTGTGGTCAGCAGATGGAGCACCTGTGCGCTACGCTGCCAGGTCAAACACCTTGGGTTTCCATCCCCGACGTCACGCCTCCCTCTGTCCAAAGATTCTCCCCAAAGTCCCAGGTAGATGCCTGAAGGTAGTCATGGTTCCTGTTCTTTTCCCAGGGCTTGGGTCACGTGAACTGATGTTCTTCTGAGCTCAGATCCCAACCCTGACCCTTTGCCTCCTACGTCCAAGGAGTGCGTAACCCAGGGCACCTCCTGAGTAGCATTTTCTACCACCCTCTAGGACTTGTAGCATTTCTACTTTCCCCAGAGACAGAAGGGACAGAAATTGAATTCCGATGTAGTTCTCTCACCCCAACCCATTCCAATGAGCAGGACTAGAAGGTTCCAGACCAGATGCAGTCTACCTGTTGGAGGGTAGGGAAGCACCCCGGACACCAGAGGGAGACGTTCTAAGGAGCACCTGTCCAGGTGAGTGAAGGAGTGAAAACCAGGTGCACAAAAGGTCATTGCAAGAAATGACATCTCACCTGGCCACAGAGGGGAAGCACACTGAAAATAATGGGCCTGCCGAGAGCTCCTCAAAGATTCTCCAGGCCTGGGGCAAAGAAAGAGGTGAGGCCTACAGGAACATTTATCTTCATGGTCACCTGAGCAAATGACTTTCTGGACATCTCTCCCTTTCATTGTCTCTCCAGACTTAGAGGAGAGGTGCATTCAGTGAGGAATATCTTTTTCTTCCTCCCTTTGTCAAGAAAACCCCAAAATGGCTTTACAAAGAGTCGGACATGCCCAAAACAACTGAACAACAATGAACGTGTTTTTCAGACAGGATTTAAACTCAGGTCTTTCTGACTCCAAGTTCGGTGATCTATGTCACTTAACTGTCTACCACTACTACGACTTATACTACTACTACTACTGCTACTACCACCACCACTACTACTACTACTATTAATTATAGCTAATGTTTATATAGGGCCTACGATGTGGGCCTTTGTGCTGCTTTGCTTCACTCCTCAAAAGATCGTTTCATAAAGGAGGCAGTGTGGTGTGGTGAGAGTATTTCTGTTTAATGGAAGGTGGGGCCCCTTCCATCCTCTCCCCCCTTACCATGACTGCTTACTTCTCATTAAGTCTGTGGATCCATTCTTTTATATTTTTTGTCTTTACATGCATTTCTTTTTAAAAATTATAAATATATATATATGTATATTGTGTGTGTGTGTGTGTGTGTGTGTGTGTGATTTGGCAAAAATCTGCCTTCTCTCCTACTCCCAGTAAACTCCCTGGAAGGGGGCAGGTCCCCTACCACAATCTGCGCTCGATCTGTGACCTAGAATTGGGCTTAGAATTCTTCCTGCTTCTCTCCCACCTTCCTGTATGTATCCTTTCTCTGGTTCTCTATCACCGCACCTCTTTTGATGCTAGATACCCAGAGGAGTTCATGCTCCCCTCTTCTGGAGTGAGATGCAGCCGTGCAAGTCTCAGCCCTTGTTCAGAGCAGGTGGCCTCCTCAAGGTGTCCATTCTGAGACTCCTGACACTCCCAAGGGGAGTCTGCTTGTTTTCCTTTCTAGGAACAGATTGACCTCCCATTAATGCCCCCCTCCTCCATCCCAGTTCCTCCACTCCATCCCTGCTCTCTCACAGTCCCCCATTCTTGTCAAGAGAGTGAAGAAGTTGCTTTCTCTTCTCTTCTCCTATCCAGGCCGGGCAGAAGTTCATCTTTTGCTCTCCACTTCCTCTTGGCTCCCCTCTCCCCACTTTATTGATATCCTGTACTGTACTAACCGACCAAGAAAATAGTGATTCACTTGTACAGGAGTGTGAGCTTTAGTCCAAGGAATATTAATTCATTGCTTTTTCCTGAGTATTTTAGTTCCTCTGAGATCTTTAATCATCTAGATCCTTTGGTTATTTGATAATCCATTTTTCTTCATGTTACTTCTTCTAGAAGCCTTTCCTCCTTAATCATAGTGACTTCCCTCTGATATCCCGCCCCCCCAAATCATCCTGAATATCTTATCTGTACCTGGTTGTTTGCATATTGTTTCCCCCACTCGACTGAGCTCCTGGACAGTAGTGACTGTTTTGTTTTGTTCTTTGCATTTATCACAGTGCCTGGCATGTGGACACTCGGTAATATCTAGTTGACTGACTGACTTGATTCTCAATGTAATTTATTTTTAAAAAGAAACAATGACTTTGCTTTGCCCTTTAAACATGAAAAAAACCCATTTTCATTGTTTATTCTTTTGATAATTGTACCTATACACCTTTCTTGTATTTCTTGTTTAAAATATTTTCAGCTCACATATTCTGCTCAGGAATAATCCAAATGCTCCTCTTCTGATGAAGGTCCATTTGTTTCACTGATGATTAGGTTCAGCTTTTCAGGATATGTAATTTTGTAATTGTAATCCAATGACCTTGCCTTTTGAATTATCCTTTTTCAATCTCTCCCTTAGTTTCTTGTAGATGCAGTATAATCCTATAGTATTTGAAATGACTTTCTTTGATAACTGAAACTTGCCAAACTTTGTCCTTGGCATAGACATTCAGAAATTATACACTGTTTGCATTGAAGTTTCAAACTTAGGAGTTTTCTCTGTCATTGGTATGTAGATTTTATCGGTCGTTACCTTGAAGTCTATTTCTAAACCTTCTGGGAAATTTCCTTGTATTATTCCCTGTAGTCTGGTATCCAAGGCTTTAAATTTATTTATATTTTTCTAGGTGATCCATGATGCTTAAATGATCTCTGCACATCTTGTCTTTAGGGTCATTTGTACCTCGTATGCAATTCATGTTATTTCAGAGTTGTTGTCTTTTGCTTTTCTGGTAGGCCAGTAATTTTTAAATTCTCTCTCCTGGATCTGTTTTCCAGGTCAGTTGTTTTACCAATGAGGTATTTTATGTTTTCTTCTATTTTTTCATTCTTTTGTTTCTGTTTGACTGATTCTTGATCTCTTATAGAGTCATTCGCTTCCATTTGCCCCATTCTAATTTTTAATGAATTGTTTTCTTCTATTAGACTTGACTTTGTGCCTCCTTTTCCATTTGGCCTGTTTTACTTTTTAAGGAATTCTTCTCTTCAGTGAATTTTTGTGTCTCTTTTTCCATTTGGTTAATTTTACTTTTTAAGGAATTATTTTCTTCAGTATACTTTTTCTTTCCATTTGGCCAATTGTATTTTTTTTTGCGAGGCAGTTGGGGTTAAGTGACTTACCCAGGATCACACAGCTAGTAAGTGTCAAGTATTTGAGGCTGGATTTGAACTCAGGTCCTCCTGACTTCAAGGCCGGAGCTCTATCCACTGCACCACCTAGCTGCCCCCTCCAATTGTATTTTTTAAGGACTTGTTTTAAATCTTTCTTGAGCTCTTCCAAGAAGGCTTTTTGGGCTTGAGACCAGTTCATATTCCCCTTTGAGGTTTCAGATATATTGATGATGTTGTCGTCTTCTGAATTTGTGCTTTGATCTCCCCTGTTCCCATAATAAGAATCTAAGGTCATTGTCCATTTCTGCTTTTTGCTCATGGTGTTTACCTATTTCTTGACTTTTTTTTAAGTTGAGCTCTCCTGCTGGAGTGCAAGGGGCACTTACCCAAGCTTCTTGTCCTGGAGCCCAGGACCTAGTCACTGGCTTGTGTGCTGAGTCCTCAGGTGCTGGCAGTTGGAGGCTGAAGGGTTTTGGCAGCTTACCTGGTACTGGTCTGGGGTCAGCAATACTAGAGCTCTTGGAGTGTGTGTGGGGAGTCTGGCCCCTGGGGGATGCCTGCTCACCTGGGCCTTGCACTCCAATGTTTGACTCCTACTCACCCAGGCCTTGCTGTTTCATTCTGGAGGATGTCTGTCAGCCTGGAGCTTTGGTTCGTGGAGTTGTGCTTTCTAGAGTTGCGACAAGGCTTCAGGTGGTATGGCTGCTGGAGAACGCCGTCACACATGGTGGCTTTCTGAGCTGGTGTCTACCGGTTCCCTTGCCTGTACTGAGGCAGTGGGGGGAGGGGGGTCCCTGCGCTTGTCTGCTCCACCACCCTGGGTCTCAAGATCTCCTGCTGGTATGCTGAAGTGGGGCTTGCTGCTGGTTTGCTGGAACATCACCCATTCTGTACTGTTCCCCCTCCCCCAGAGTGAGAGGGGCCTTTCCTATTAATCCCCCAAGCTTCCTGGGTTATAAGACTGCTGTGTCCCGTGTTTCTGCTGGCTTAGCTGTTCTAGGGTTTTTCCTGGGTTGATAATTTCTGAGCTTTCAAAGGTCAAGAAGGAAGGGTAAGAGCGACTTACTTCTTACCCCACCACCTTGGCTTGTCTTTTGCTTTCCTTCTGACATATGTTCTTTTATTTCTGTTTTTTTTTTTATTTCCAGATCTGTCAGTCTTTTTTTTTTCATAGCCTCAAGTATTTTAGAGAGATTCCCAGTCGTGTTCTAAATTGTTTACTCTGTCTTATTTTTTCCTCCCTGAGAGCTCTTGATTTCCCTCCTAATTTGCCACCTAAAAAAAAAAACAACAACAACTCCAATTTTAATACCTTCTTTTTAAGTTTTACTTCACTTTTGAGCTATTCTGGAATGTCTTACTATATGTCCTGGATCTCTGGAGAATCTACAGAATTTATTTTAATACTTCCCTTTTTGTTTTAGATTTATTCTCCTTTATATAGTAATATTTGCTGTGTTGTGATTTTTTTAAAAATCCTTTTTAAAAAATTTTTAAAAATTTAAAAATTTTGTTTTTATCTGCTTATGATCTGAGTTTGTCATATACAGTTTTTTTGTCTTGCATAGTTTATGTTGGGCTTCCCTTGCCCTTCCATCACTCTTGCAGGTATGTTTTCTTCTACATAAAGCCCTGAGCCTAGGCAGCCCCAGCTCTTTTTTCGAGGGGGATGGGTGTAGGGTCCAACTAACTCTCATCCTTTGTAAATTCCACTAAGCAAGAACTGACCACAGCTAGGCTTATTGTAATCCCCTTTCCTCAATCTAGGAAGCCCCTTCTCCTCTAGCTAGCTTGGCTTTGCTGAGCCTTCTACCGACCTTCCTTTCCTTTCAGATTTCTGTCTTCTTCCTGTTTCGTGACTGGGCAAGGTTAGTAATTCCACCTCTTGGGATTGAAGTTTAAATGGCTGAGTTCCTTCCATGAGCAGAGCAGGCAGAGTTCACCAAAGCCAGACTTTGAAACACAATCTAATCAGGTTGTGTGGGCTGGCTTCTTCTGGATGGATTATGAGTGGGTGGGTTAGGGGGTGAGAGCTTTATGTAGTTCAGCTCTGCCATTGTTTCAGAAAGCATTTCCTTTAGTGGAAGGGTTTTTGTCTTCTTTTGTTGCTTCAGTTTTATTTATTATAGATTTCGTGCATTTTCTTCTTCTTTTGGGATTGTTGGGATAAGGACTTTATGTTAGAAAAAAAAAACAACTGTTATTCTATCTTGTTGATCTATAACTGAAAATTTAAAAAAAAACATAGAGTCATTGAAGGATCACCTTGTCAATGTGGAATATTCCCTGTACTTTTATAGACTGCAACCTGTGATTGTTGTTCGGTCATTTTTCAGTTCTTTTTGACTCTTTGTGACCCCATTTGGGGTTTTCTTGGTAAAGATACTGAAGTGGTTTGCCATTTCCTTGTCCAGCTCATTTTACTAACGAGAAACTGAGGCAGTTAAGTCACTTGCCCAGGGTCATACAAGCTAGTAAGCATCTGAGGCCAGATTTGAACTCAGGAACATGAGTCTTCCTGACGCCAGGCCTGGCCCTCTGTGCACTATGGCACCACCTAGTAGCCCCGTGTATGATACTTGAGTCCTACTAGATAAATCCTTTGGAGTTGCTTGCAGCACAAAGTCACATAGTTGGTATCAGACATGAGATTTGAATCCAGGCCTTGATGTCTCCAAGCCCAGCACTATATCCATTATGTCATTGCCTCTGTATATAAAGGGATATTGTTGTTATTTGTTATTATTGTCATTTGTTTCTACCTCTTAAAATTTGATGATTATTTTTTCTTGATAGGGAAGGTAGAAGATGAGAATAGGCTTAATGCAGGGAGAACAGGAAATTTTACATTTTTTATTTCTTTCAGATTGGAAGACAAGGCCTGAAAATAAGGAATTGACTCCAAATTTGGGCATATCTATGGAAAAGTCATCCCAGGAAATATTGACTCAGGATGGTCCTCATGTCTCTAAGTTGGGAGAATGTGGCTCAAAGTTAGTGAGGGAGCAGATTAACAAGAAAGAACATTCTAGAAAAGTAAAAACCACCCGAAGGAAAGTTCCCAATGAAGGAAAAGAACATGAATTTAATCAATTTCTACAAAGCTTCAGTGCAGAACTAGTCCTTTTTCCCCAAGAGGGAGCATCTCTAGGAAAGAATCTCCATAAATGTTATACCCAGAGGAAGAACATTAAACTTTACTCAGACCTGAGTCAGTGTAATAGAATTGGCTCCAAGAAGACATTTTCTAGGTATAATAAATGTGGAAAATACTCCAGTTATACTTCAGACCTTGCCAAAAATCTTGGTCTTCAGACTGGTGAAAAATATTATCAATGTGTTGAATGTGAGAAGACGTTCCTCAAGAGCAAAGAATTTATTCAACATCTGAGAATTCATACTGGGGAGAAACCTTATATATGTAACGAATGCGGAAAGTCCTTCCGACAGAAGCCACACCTTGCTCGGCATTTGAGAATTCATACTGGAGAGAAACCTTATGAATGTAATGAGTGTGGTAAGGCCTTCTGCCAGAGCATATCTCTTACTCAACATCAGAGAGTTCATACCGGAGAGAAACCTTACCTGTGTAATGATTGTGGGAAGACGTTCCGACGGAGCACACATCTCACTCAACACCAGAGAATTCATACTGGAGAGAAACCTTATGAATGTAGTAAATGTGGAAAAACCTTCCGCTGGAAGACAGGACTTATTTTCCATCAGAAAAGTCACGCTTCGGAGAACCTTTTTGAATGTAATGAATGTGAGAAAGCTTTCTTCCGGAATTCTGAACTTACCCAATATCAGAGGATTCAGATGGCAGAAAAACCTTATGAATGTAATGAGTGTGGGAAGGCCTTTCGCCAGAACTCAGGTCTTAATCGACATCAGAGAATTCATACTGGAGAGAAACCTCATGAATGTAATGAATGTGGAAAAGCCTTCCGCTGGAGCACACAACTTGCTCAACATCGGAGAATTCATACTGGAGAGAAACCTTATGAATGTAAAGAATGTGGGAAGGCCTTCTGCCAGAGTGCTGAACTAATTCAGCATCAGAAATTTCATGCTGCTGAGAAACCTTACGAGTGTCATGAATGTGGGAAGGTCTTCCGACGGAGGACAGGGCTTACTGAACATCAGAAAATTCATACTGGAGAGAAATCTTACAAATGTAACATATGTGGAAAGGCCTTCCGCCAGAGGATACATCTTGTTCAGCATCAGAGAATTCATGCTGGGAAGAGACCTTATGAATGTAATAAATGTGGGGTGGCCTTCCACCCCACTATGCCTTAGCTCACTGCAGAAGAGTCGTACTGGAATGAATAGTGGAAATGTTTCCGTCAGTACCCACACTTAGCGGAAAATTAGAGAATGCAAATCGAAGGGAGAACCTGTAGATGAAGCTGATCCCGGTCTCCCTCCTCTCTTCCCTCCTCGTCTCTTCCTCCTCTCCCCAAACACAGCACAAATCTTAGACTGTTGACTGAGGAAATTGTGGTCATCTCACAGGGAGCTCAGTCCCTCTATTACATTCATCCAGAATTCCTAGAATGGTCCTCTCTTTCTCTCCTCCATTATTATCATGGAGGAATATGAGGTGTAGTCGTCCCTGCACCTTACAAAGTGTAAATCCTAGGCTTGTTCCTGTGGTTCTGCTCCTTTTTGTCTACCTTAGAACCTTACTTCAAGAATTATCCCTTGCCCAGCAGTTGTAGGACCTCGAGGTGGGAGGGAGGGAAGGGGAGGGGCCGGGGGACTGGAGGAGTGGAGGTCCTGGGAGCCTGGAGAGGGAGACGCCACCAGCACCGCTGCAGAGCATCAGGGGAGCTATGGAGGTCGTCCCTCGGACCCGGGTCCAGTCATCCTCCACCCGCTTTCCTCTCCCCTTGGTCCCGGGAGCCAAGGGTAGCTTGAGGCAGCGCTTCCAGAGGTTCCTGGAGCAGAAAAACTTTATCACCAATATCCTGGGGAAGTTGGAGGAGATCACCGGAATCAAAAAGTACTAGCTGGCTACAGGTTCCATTGCCTGCCTGTCCTGCTCTCTGATGTTTGGCATGTTGCCTCCCTGCTCTGCAATCTGATCGGATTCATCTACCCAGCGTATGCCTCCATCACGGCCATCGAAAGCCCCAACCAAGAAGATGATACCATTTGGCTAACCTACTGGGTGGCATATAGCATATTTGGCCTGGCAGGGAAGTGTGTCTTCTTGCCGTGGTGCATGCTTCCGGTGGCCTGTAATGGCTCCCAGATCTTGGATCATTGCCTGATCCACCCCATCTTCCTGAGGCACCAGGCTTCCATGGACAGCCTAGTGCCTGTCCTGAGTGGATGAGCCCCGGACACAGCGGCCAGTTTGACCCGGGAAGTCCTCCAGGCCCTGGCTCACAGCTGAACAGGGCTGACCTACCAGGTGGCTCCTCAGCTCCCTCCAGAGTCTTCCCACCAAGGCAGGCGTGATTCACCCCCAGAGGAATAAGTGAAGAGATCACTGCTGAGCCAGACCTTTGAAGACTGGCCACCCTTCTGCCCGCCCCGTCAGCGTCAAGGGATCCTGGCCCATGTCTAAGCAGCTGACCAACTCCACCCTCGAGGGCATTAGAGAAGTCTCCCCAGGCTGGGAGGGGGGATGGGCACGGGGGGACTGCTGCTCATTTAGGTTCCACCAGCACCCGCTAAGGGCCCTGCTGGACTCCTCTAAGACTGCTCTAAGCATGCCATTAACCACCTGCCTCTGGCTCCCTCTGCCATCACTGGCCTCCCACAGAACTCTTGATGTGTCCTGGCTATTCCAGCTGCCCATGTATTTAAAAAAAAAAAAAAAAAACCCCCACACAGGCAAAAAAAAAAAAAAAGAAAAAAGAAATATCCCTTGTTTCATGCATCTTCGGTCTATTCCTCTACTTCTGTGGCAAGGAAGCTTTATCTTCACCATGCTTGGCAATGTCATCATTAATAAGGAATGCCTTCTAGCGGCTTGAATGGTTATTGCTGTAGTTTGGCCAGTGTAGTGCAAGGGATCCCCAGCATTTCATGAGACTTAGGGACAACCTAGGGCTCTTTCACTTTGAGACTCTGCGCCCCAAAGACACATGTGGACCGAATTAAGAAATGAGCTTTCTGCTGTGAAGGAAAACAAAGCTCTGTTTCTAGGAGTACTGAAGACTACGGCTTTGCTCTCGGGGGCAGAGCTGCAGAACAGCGGTCTGGGAGCACGTGACCTGACTTGACCAGGAGCAATAGTTACAATTGAAGCTAGAGGGTTGACTTTTGACCTTTCTGTTTTAGTTAGCCTGACCTTGCTCAATGTCCTTGCCCTCTCTTCTGAAGGATGTTGTATTGGGGGAACCCAAAAGTCCTTTCAACTTCTGTATAGCTGAAAGGAGATCAGAGAAGCAGAGGAGTGATTTCTCTTCTCTATTTTCCTCTCTCCTAGGACTTGGGAAGGCATCATGTCCAGGAAGACCTCGAGGGGTCTAGACAATTGTTGATCAATTGTAATCTTATTTCAAGAAATAATTGAGTGTCTTGTATTTTTAGGATTATTGTTAATATTCATTATATGGGAGGAGTTTTTTATAGATTCGTATGTTTGTAATGACATAGAACGTTTTCTGATAGTTCAAGTGCTCGGAAGTTCCTATTAAAGTTCTCTCTTGAACAAAATTGTGGCTTTATTTTGTGGGACTGAGTTTCCAGATGCTCTGATGTATCCATCAGATTTGAGTACAAGGAAAGGGGATAGGGTGGTTGAGGATATGAGGATTGTTTCTACAAGGCAACCTTCTCTTCTAGAAGCTTAGTAATATTAGTAAGAGAGTAATTGGTAATAGAGGCTTAGTAATAAAGTTTCTTCACAATTGGTAACAAACGTGCTTGAGTTAGCTCCTTAAAAAGGCCTGCCCTGTACTATCAACTCCATCCATCTCTCTCCTGCTCTTCACTGCCCAACTTTTTGAACCAACGTCTCCAGTTTCTCACTTCCACCTCAGTGCCTTACAGTCTGGTTTTTTTTGTTCCAAGCACTCTACTGAAGCTACCTTCTCAAAAGTCACCAGTGAGTAGGTGGCCTAACAGATGACTTGGAGTTAGGGAGGCCTGAGTTCAAATCCTGCCTCAGACACTTATCGATTGTGCGATCATGGTTCACTTTCTCAGCCTCAGTTTCCTCATCTGTCAAATGGGGATAATAATAGTGCCTACCTCCCAAGGTCATTGTGAAGATCAAATAAGATAGCTTTTGTAAAGCGCTTTGCAAACCTTAAGGCGCTATGAAGATGCTAGCTATTATTATTATTTCCCAATCACCAAACACAGAAGTCCATTTTTCATTCCTTGTGCCCCTTTGCTTCCTCCCTATAAAGTATTTGACCCCTGAATCCTCCTCTTTGTGTGTGGGTGGATATTGTCTCCTCCCTGTCTTCACAGACTTCACAGTCGATTTCTGACTACATCCTCAACTGCTTCTCTGTGTGCTTTGCTGGCTTCTAATCCTTCCCCAGAACCTTAATGGGGATGTTCCCCAAGGCTTTCCCCTCCCCCCCTGTGGTCTGTTTAATCTCCCCATTGGGAATTTCATTTAGTCTTGTTATATCAACATTGGAAATATAGAGTGACTTTAAAAGAGTAGTGTCACAAGCCAGGAGCCAAGAAACATGAGATGGAAGGAGCAAAGTTGGGCAGCAGCCCCTCTATAATTTTAAGAAAAATTTTGCTAGTGTCAGTTTTTTCCCCGAGGTTAGAATTTGATTATTCTATTATCCATTGAATTAATATTGAATTAATTTAAGTAATATTCAAATATTAATTTGGCAGCTGTGTAGAGGAAGTTTTGGAAAGGGGAGAGACTCTTCGTTTTCTAACCTAAGTGCCTTTTGTTATGGTAATTTCTAGGCTGGAATACTATCTCCTCACATCTCCATCTGTTGAGTTCCTATAGATCTTTTAAAGCCCAAACTCTACCCTCACTTTCTTCCCAGATATCACCAGTTAGTAATGACCATTTGTCTCCCTGAGACCTTATGAAGCACTTTGCTGTCCCATATGAATCATGTTGTATTAATGTTATCTGTGTTATAACCACCTGCTGGACTCATGAGGATAGGGACTGTTTTTTATGTGAACTTTATATGTCCCATAGGTCCTGGATTAATGCTCCGTGCAGTTGATGTACAATAAATGTTGAACTGAATTCACTCTGAAAAAGATTTCATTGGAAGCATACCATTGGATTCGTAGTGAAGTGAAACCCTAGAAGTGGGCGGCTGGCTACCCCAAACTATCTGTGCAGTGTCTACTATGCTGTGACCCTCTGAAAAGTGCCCCATGGCTCTCCTTTCTCTTTTTCTGCCCCTGCCACACCTAGTACTCACCCACTTAAAAACCACCATTTTTCTCGGTGCATTTTAGTGTGGGTTATTTTAATCTATTTGATTAAATGAATTCTCAACTCTCTGACTTCCATTCACCCAAAAGAATTTGTTATAGCCCTGTGACAATTGATAATGTAATACAGAGATGGGAGTATTTCTTGAAGTGGAAGGGACCTCAGATGTCACCTAATCAACCCCACTCCCTCTATTTCACAGATTGAGGAAACTGGTGAGTTGCCCAAGGTCACCTAGTCAATGATTGGCAAAGCAAGAATTTGAGCCCAAGTCCTTTGATGCCAGATTCAGTGATCTTTCCACTGTGCCCTGCTGTTTTGGGACTCTATTGTCTGATAGCAAATAGAATGGAGAATCAAGGCTTTGCACTGAATGAGAATGAAGACTTGAGCTAAATGTGAATAATGTGTTGAAGTTGGTCAGTCAAACATTAAGCATCTACTTTATGCCCTCCACAGTGCTAAGTACTGGAGATACAAATATGAAAAAAGACAGTCCCTGCTCTCAGTGTGCTTACAATCTAACGGAGGTAGACAACACAAAATAAAGCCAAAAAGCAAGGAGAGGAAGGAGAAGGGGAGGGAGTGAAAGGAAGGTACAGAGGCATGAAGGAGAAATGCAAAGAAGAGAAGGCAGATGGGAAATGAAGAGATGGCTGACCTGGCACGCTCCTTAACTGGAGGCTTTGGGAGGAACTCTCCACTCCACCCTCCAGTCAGAGGGGTCCCAGGGCAAAGGGTACTAATGAGGTGTGAGGACCAAGGCTGTTGTGACCTTTCAGGATGATGAGGTTACTGAGGGCATGATGGAATCCAAAGGAGTGTAGCTGGATGGGAAATGAAGAGAAGATGATTCATCAGCAAAGTCAAAGATTTCATTTAGACATCTCCTCTGAATGGTTCCACTACTCTCTCTGTTAGCCCCTTCTCTTTCTTTATAGAATAGAACCTGGAGCACATTGCCAGATGATGTCTAGGTAAGGAAAGAAAAGTTATTCTAATTGATTCTGGCAAAATGTCATTTTTCTAGTTGTTTCCACACTGTTGCTTAAGGTAGCACAGGACAGAGGGAAGCATTACATCATGGGATATCAAATCTGGAAGGTTCCTTAGATCATTAAATGTCAGAGCTAAGAGACCTTAGAAATTAAATGCAGCTGAGACAGCCCTAGGCACAGAGAATCTCGGGTCTGGGAAGGACCTCAGAACACTAGATACAGAGTGTTAAAGATGGAAGAGAGAGAACTTAGAGGTCATCTTATCCAAGCCCCTTATTTGACAGAAAAGGAAATTAGCCTGTAGGATCATCTAGGTCTTTGCAATCACGTATAATTAA